CCCTGGCTCTGGGTGGGGACCCTTATGAGGGGCGTCCTTGGGGGACAAGGAAGATGAGATCTGGAGGTGAAATGGGAGCAGAGGATGGAGGGAGGGAAGCCCTGTAGGCAGAGGGGAAGGTGAAACTGCTCAGCAAAACTCCTCGGCAAGAGGCTGCCTGCAATGCCTAAAAAAAAAAAAGCCTGTGCAGATGGAACCAATCACAATCACCTTAGTTACCTTCTTATTGCTGGGACAAAAATACCTGACACCCGTAAGTTAAAGAAGGAAAGGCTTATTTGGGCTCACAGTTCATGGAGGTTTCAGTCCATAGGCAGCTGGCTCCAAGGTGGCGGGTATGGTACAGGAGAATGGCAGAGGAGAAACAGTCCAGGGCATGGGAGGCAGGAAGCAGCGAGCAGAGCCTGCCCTCCTTCTCCCCACCCCATGGTCCATCCAGGCTACAAGCCTATTGGTTGGTGCCGACCACACCCACTTCCCTTTATCCAATCCAAAAATTATGCTAAACCAATCCTCAGACTAATGTAGTTATCACAGCTTAATCCATATTCACACACCCGAGGTACAGCCACCGATGAAAAGCCTCACCTATGAGTGCTCTGGGGGGGACATCTATTTTTTAAAAAATTTTATTGGTACATTTTATGTTTTGTTTTGTTTTTTGTTTTTTGGTACCGGAGATCGAACTTGGATCCTCACGCTTGTGAGGCAGGCGGCGACACCACTGAGCTAAACGCCTGGCCCTATTGGTACATTTTAGATATATATAAACATAACATTCATCATAGGGAATGTGTGCCTGTACACGACAGATCTTTTTTGCTGTTGTTCCAGGGATGGAACTTGGGATATATATTGCTTCTTTTTTCTCATTCCCCTCCCTCCCTTCAACCCCACTTCCCTCCTTATTTACAAAAAATTTGTGTCTTTTTTTTTTTTTTGTACCAGGGATTGAACTCGGGACCTTGCACTCTCGAGGCAGGCAGTGGAACCACTGAACTAAATCTCCAGTTTTTCCCTTCTATTTTCTTTTTCTTTTTCCTTGCCCCTTCCTTCCTTTCAGTTCTTCTCTGCCTTCCTTGTTCCCCTTCTTGGGAGGACGTCTACACAGGAGCCATAACGGCAATGCAGAGGCAGCCCAGAGAGGGGCAGGGGCCTGACCAGACGGGATCTCCACAGCCGTGACGGGTTGACCTATGTCCTCCCCCAAATCTACGCTAATGTCCTCGCCTCCCAAAGCTCTACTGGGACCTTACTGGAATGGAGGGTCACTGAAGATCTGATCCCTTAAAACGAGGTGATCCTGGAGGAGAGTGGGTGCCTAATTCAATGTGACTGCGGCCCTGCTGTGAAAACCCTGCTGGTGGGTGTAGCTAAATGTCTGTGTGTGTGCGTGGATTGAACCCAGGTCCTTACACACGTAAGGAAAGGCCTCTGCCGTTGAGCTACAGCCCCAGTCCCATGTCTCAGATTACTTGATTGCAAGTTTCTCCAACATTTTGAACAACTTGACCCATTAAAACATATATGTTTTTACACTGGGATCTAGTATGCTGCATGTATACAAATGTGCATGTTTGCACACATATTTCTGCCGTAACTCACCCTTCTGGTGTGCCACGTCACTCTGTTCTATTCTGTTCTCTTGCACTAAAAAGTGACAGCACAGCCGGGTGTGGTGGCGCACACCTGTGATCCCAGCACTTGGAAGCTGAGGCAGGAGGATCGCTGTGAGTTTGAGACCAGCCTGGGCTACACAGTGAGTTCCAGGTCAGTCTCAACTACATAGTGAGACCCTGTCTCAAAAAAACAAACAACAAAAAAATATGACAGCACGGTCTACAAAACTGATCTTACAATCCGGTCAAAAGTTACAGCCTGCAGGTTTAGCACTTTCAACGCATTTATTAAATGAAGAGAGAAACATCCTATACGTGTGCTGTACGCTCCTTCTGGATGTTTTACAGACACGTTTTAGCAAACATTGCAAAGTCCCAGTGGGGTAGAAATTCTCCTCTTCTTCCCATTTTCCTTACGACCAGACCGAGGCGTGGAGGCCCCTGCCCCAGCTCGTGCAGAGGAGCCGCGCCGGGGTTCTTCCTCCAGCCCGGGAGCTGCTGTGCCACTGACCAGGAGGGAAGAGCCGTGCAGTTCTACGTGGCCTCACATCGCGGTTAGGGCCACCAAAGGGCCCATTCCTTTATACGTTTGTCAGTCGGGAGGTGACTAGAGTCCTCTTCTTTTCACTTTCCTTGGCAGCCAACGAAGCCACAGCTATACAGACCCCCAAATTGAATAATCACCTCCAGAAACCCAGAGTGGGGTCCCCTGCCCGAGCCTCAAGACGTCCCCCCCGCCGCCTTCAGCAAGGACCGCCGTCTGCAGGGGACTTTTCACACCCGGACAGGCCCGGCTTCCTCAGAGGAAGTACTCCACCTGCCCATTACCTACTGATTTCCTCCAAAGTTCTCCAGCCCCAGAGCCTAATTATTGGTGTCATTGTGGAGACGTTAGGAGGATTGGAAGCCCCTCTGGCTAACCCAGGGCCTGTGTCGAGGGACTCGGCTAATCCGCATTATCTGTCCTCACTGGTAATGGGGAAGGTTGCACGCCAATTACCCGGCTTCCTCAGCCCCTCCGCAAACAAGGGAGGCAGTGTTCGCACAGACTGTGCCACATTCCAGCCCCACATCAGAAGCGTCTGGGCCAGATGAAGACCACTGGGGCTCAGCATTTAGGAGTGGAGCCTATGGACGTCACCAGGGAGCCCTGACTCTTCTCACCTCAGGGACATCCCCGAGGGCATCTTTAACCTGGATTCTTTCCAAAACTGCCTATCTACCAGGTTTGCAGCTGCGGTCTTCAGCGTTTCCGGCTCAGACTTGTTGAGTGGGTGGGTCGAGGTGCGGAGGAAGAGGAGAGAGAGGAAAGCACAGCTTCAACGACAGAGGAGCGGATACTAGGAGCTGGTAGACCGAGTCCCAAAAAAGGAAGAAACCGAGACACATTCTTAGGCCGTGTTAGCATCAAATAGGCAAAGACAGTTTTCGCCCAAGAGTTTGACCTTGTACATTGAAAAGTGCACAGGTAGCTGCATAAATCTGTATAACACACAGTAGATAAGACACAGAGTGGAAATACTACATAGACTTCATCTCTACTCTTCCGTTTGTGGTTTCCCCTTTCATTTCTTCCTCCCTCTGATTCAGAAGCTGGCCCGGCAGTGTTGTAGGTGTCAGAAAAGACTGTCTCTGGTGGGATTTGTAACCAGGCACAGGAGTTGGAGCGCCTGCGGCCCCACGGGAAGCCCCTGGCCCCCTGAAGCTGCTCTTTAATTTTGCTGGCAGAGAGCGTGGGATCCGAGGCTGGGACCCTGAGGCTGCAGACTTCTCCCTGCCCTATCGGTTAACTCCATTTCTCAGGTCACCACTTGGAAACAGCGCTGCTGTCCACCTGTCCAAGGTCACACAGCCCAAAGCTAGCACAACAGTAAAAAAACCAGAAACTCCAACAAAACCCCGGTGGGTCCTAGGTGCTGCCTCTCAGACTCTTGTTACCCAGGACCCTGAAGGCTCCAATGCAGCAGCGACCTCAGTGCCTTAGAAGGAAAAGACCAAAAGCTGTGAAACAGCAGGCAGCTCTCTTTGGGTGCTGTTCCAGCTCCGGGCGTCTCCTCCTCCTCCACCTCCCAGGCGCAGATACAGTAATTAACTCCGTGCAGAAGGGTTAGACTTGAACAGGGGAGTGGCCCACAGGAGTTGGCCGCACGGGAAAAGGGAGGCTGCTCACAGCGCCCAAAGGATGTGAGAAGCTGGGGAGGCTCCGCGGGCTGCGCTGGTTATTTCCAGGCGGCGCGAAAAGCAGACATTTGTCTGTTCCCATGGAGACGCGATTTCTACTAGTCAGTCGGGCGACGGGGAGGTCAGACAATAGCCAGTCGCTTAAAAAAAACTCTTGAGGGATAGTCGATTCCTGCTGTGTTTCCGCATTTCTCCTGCGTGTACGGGACTCGAAAGGACTTGTCCCGGGCGAGCAGCACTGAGCTCCTGCGCGGCTCCGAGGAACCGGGGATCCCGGGGTTCGATTCCTGCTGTGTTTCCGCATTTCTCCTGCGTGTACGGGACTCGAAAGGACTTGTCCCGGGCGAGCAGCACTGAGCTCCTGCGCGGCTCCGAGGAACCGGGGATCCCGGGGCCCTCGTGCAGGACGGCGTGGCCCCCTCCCCCGCCGGTGTCAGATCCCGGCCGGTCGCAGTGCTTACTCCTTGGCTTCCCAACTCCAGCCCTTCCTCTCGGTGGCGCTGAGGTCTCCCCCACCGCGGCCGGCGGCTGCACCCCGAGAGCCCCAGTCCCGAGCTGCTTCGAGCCCCGCGCCCTTCGCTCCCGACCTCTCCGTGCCCGACAAGGGCGCGGGCAGAAGTGATCCGGGCCGTTACGCGGCCCGCTGAGGCGAGTTATCGATCCCAGCCAGCAGATCGGGCCCCTGCAGAAATGTTTATTCCAATAGGCGAGGGCCAGCTCCAGCGCCCGCAGTGGGAGAAAGACTTCTGGAACGCGTCAGGATTTTAAAAAGCATCTCAGAGGTGCCCCCTTCTTTTTTCTTTCCATGCATCATTTTTAGGCACGTCCGAGGCAGAAGAAAAAGCAGCAGAGGACTCCCGAGAGCGCGGGGAGCAGGGCGTGTGTCTTCCCGGGGGTCCGCTTTGGAAACGCAGTCCGCGATGCGACGCTCAGCTCCGGGCGCGCAGGAGAAACAGTCGCCCCGAC